CCCCCATACAAACGTACCCCCGATATTCGCTATTTGGATAACTTTAGCGACAGTTTTACCGGAATTGTTTCAAGTTTCGTATTTAAAGATCGTAGAGGGCACTACAGCCTATGACAAAAATTGGGTAGGCAGGTTCACGTCTTCGTATATCCCCCATATAACGAGTTTCCTTTGAGCGGTATTTTTCGACGGAGATTTTTTGACATTTTCCAAGTTCCACCCATAAAACCTCAATAATTATACCAAAACTATTTAATACTTTACATTTGAAATTTTACAAATCACAGTACATTATTGAATAGCAAAAAATATAAGTGTTTACTTTTACATTTTCGTTGTAAAGCATTGGGCAGAGAGAAACAAACATAATACTCCTCCCTACCATAAAAACTAATGCCTGAGTAGAATAATCCTTGTGGAGACGGTGAAACTTGTAAAGGCCCTGAATAAGCAATTTCAAAGATAGCAAAACAAAATAAAGAACTACCTCAAATAAATGTAAAAGATTATTTTTAGGACAAATCCTTAATGAGTTTCTCTATTGTCAAATGTTACAAAAATATTACATTGTACCGTTGTAACACTGTTACCAAATTGTCATTATTGTTGACGTTGTCATATCTCCATATTCGCTTTTCACAGTATTTTGAAACAAGCAAAATGATTATGGCTCAAAATTGGCATATATGTCAACTTGATTTTGGGGGGAAAATCGGTTGAATTACTTCACAATAAGTAATTGTCTGTCAAAAACTAATATTTGAGGTTATCCTTTAAAATACCACTGTGACTTAATTTCACTTATAATGTTTTCGTCATTCTGAATGTGGATGTAATAGTTTCGAACAACAAAGAGTTCTAACTCACTCGAAAAAAGCCATAAAGAGCCAAAATAATTTTAAGCCATTATCCTTTTTAAGTTCTTCTTCCCCATACTTCTTCGCCTTTTAATCCTTGTGCAGGAAAATAACGATAAATTTGAATGTTGTTGCTATTGTCGTGTTTCGCTCTCAGTTATATAACCAGGTACGATGGCTGCAAAGTATTCCCATAATCACACGACACAACAATGCAACAACATGGCAATGAGATTACTGTCACCGAAGTTGATGTCAATGCTGTTTGTATTGTTCGCCACGATTGCGGTTGAATGGTGAGATGTTGCTGTACGAAAATTGACGATAATGATTGGAAGGAAAAACTGCAAAAGCAATAAAAAAGAAACAAAGTTTTCTTATTGATTTTATGGTGAAATGACGTCACATATTATAGTGAAAAAAGGAACAAAATAAATAGGAAAAACAGATTTAGTTTTTAAATATTTATACGCTATTACATTACGTGTGTATTTTGACCATAGATGGTAGAACAAGTAAAAAAGCACCATTTGCAACGAATTTGGAAATTTTTGGAAAATAATTTGGAAAATAAAATCCGTTAAAAATTCTGTTAAAATCTTAAACATACCAAACACATAGCCGTTATATTGAGTTCTATACGAAGAAGTGGACCTGTATAGGTAACTTTTGTCATAAGTCATTACAATATTTAAATCTGAAACTAGAAAAAAATCCTGTGAATAATGTAGCTAAAATCATCAAAATACCGAATATAGGGAGGCACCGTTATATCGGGGCTATACGTAGACCTGAACCTGCATAGAAAATTTTCGGTCACCGGCTATAGTACCTATTATCAATTCCAAATACGAAATTTCAAACAATTTCCACACTATCGTATAGCCCCCATACAACGGTACCCCCTGTCTATATTCGGTATTTTGATGATTTTAGCGACATTATTCACCGGATTTGTTTGAAATTTCTTATTTACAGTTCGTAATGGAAACTACAGTCTCTGACAGAAAATTGTCTATGCAGGTCCAAGTCTTCGTACAAGCCCAATATATCAGTACCTCCCTATATTCGGTATTTTGATGATTTTAGCTACATTATTCAAATTCAGTCGGAACCAAAATGCTTAATACAACTTATTTATGAAAAATGTATCCAAGGCGAGTGGATTGCGCTATCCAACTCTCGATAGCGCAGATTTGTTTAGGTCAAAGTTGGATGGTATTGAACTGGACACCAATTACTTTCCACAAGACGGTGATATGTGCCCCATAGAAGACATGATGGATAGGATGTTTAAAAGCAGACTCATAAACTACAGCATAGAAGAGAGTCCCAAAAAGAAATGAGAGTTTTATGACTTCTGATAGTAAATGGGATACTGCTATTCTCCTTGAGAAGGAATTCACGCATTAATAGTATCTTTAACTACGCCGGTGCCTCAATAAAAGAGGCAAATTCCCCTCACTATCACAGCTTTCGGAATTTTGTTATAAGATTCCTTGGCATCCGGCAATATTACTGATAACAAAACAAGAATTATTTTGGTCCACAATTTCAACACTCATGACAGCCCACCAAAGGATCTTTTTTAATTTTTATTTCCAAATTTTAAAAAAATATTGATTGAAAACTCCCATCAAATGTGGTCTTAGCAATTCTACTATAGGTCCGTGCATTTTAGGTATATAGTAGCGGTGCACAGAGAGTCCCACTTTTTTATCCTCCCAATTTTGTTACTCTCTGACTATATTGCTTTTCAATGGGTGGGGTCAATTGTGAGAATGAAAATTATTACGCTCATTGAAGTCACGCGGGTCTACATTTGCCTGGCCTTGGTATATATTGTCTCCGTTTGCAATTTCACGAAATCATGTTAGACCCAACAAAATATATACATTCCTGATCAGCGTAAAATAGCGATGTTCGTCTGTGTGTCTTCTGTTGTAATCACGCTATATTTGGAACGAATTGAGACAGTGGGCTAAAATTTTGCACACAAGTGTATTTTGTCAGTAAGCAGGTTAAGTCCGTAAATGGGTCATGTCGGTCCACGTTTTCTTATAGTCTCATATAACGACACCTCCCAATATTCGGAATTTTGATAATTTAGAGACATTATTCACTGGAATTGTTTCAAATGTCGTATTTAAGTTTGTCGCGGACATTATAACCTATGGCGGACAATTGTCTATGAAGGTCCACGCCTTCGTATAGCCCACATATAACGGTACCTCTCCTTATTCTGTATTTTAAGGATATTAGCGACATTATTCACCGGAATAGTTTCAAGTATGATGGAATTGTTTTAAATTTCATATTTGAAGTTCGGAATCGGCACAACCTATGACAAAAAATTACTTATCTTTTTAAATCTATATGTAACCAACATTAGTTTATGTAGAGCATTTAAATATGTCAAAAATACTATGTCAATTTAGCGATGCCCGCCCGTCTGTCTGTAAATTAGCTGTAAAATTTAGTCCATATTGGTCCAAGTTTTGGTAGATATGACTGCACCTCCAAATATTTGGTATTTTGATGATTTGTGCTACGCTTTTCACCGAAATAGTCTCAAATTTTGTATTTGAAGTTTGTAGTGGGTGCGTCCTATGACAGAATATTTCCTGTACAGATCCTCGCGTTTGTATAACTCCCATATAACGGTACCTCCCTATATTTGATATTTTTGATGATTTTAGCTAAATTTTTTGTGTAGTTCCATGTAACTATAACACCAGATATTCAGAATTCTTAAAATTATCAGTTCCTCTTCTTTTAAATAATGAAGGCCCTGTCGAACGTAGCTGTTTTTTTTTTTTTTGATATTTCCTAATATGTCGTTGGACTATATCCCCCATATAACGATGAGTCTGGCTTTTCGTTCATTAATAACTATTCTGTGTATCCCCTCAAAATGATTAATTTCGCATAGGTCGACATATGTATATTTGTATATCTGTCATAAAACAGTTGATTGGTTTGGTATTTATAGTTATTGATACACAAATTTAACCATTTAGCTTTTAGCAAGTGGGGAAAATATTATACAGGTAATATTATATTCCTATACAATATTATGCGAGGATCAAAAAGGTTTTGGTCAGAAATATCGGATTTAAAAAGGATCTTGTTTTCTCGAGCCAGATATAATATGGAGTCTCCGAAGTCGGAGTAATAAGTTGTGTACTTAATAAAAGTAACACCTCAATAGGAGTTGACAGCATATCACCGACGTAAATGCACTACAACTTTAATTCTATATCTGAATAACAATGTGGCCAGGAACTCGCTCGCCCACCTCCAATCTATAAAACCTATCTCTTAAAAATCTACCGTACGAAGACAAAAACTAAATTGGTCTTTTGCTACTGGGGATTGAACCCAATTTATATATTGGAATGAGCCAAGCTTCTTCCTTATTGCATATCTTTATTTTCAGATGCCTTAGATACCTACAAATTTATCTTTCACCGAATTCATTTATCGATTTATCCAATCTAAACACTTATCATATTCAAAACAAATCATTCTAATTTTTTTAAAAGAAAGGATAACTTTACCTATGGTTTTTATCCCCTTGCTATTATTTTGATGGCAATCACACAATTACAAATATAATTAATTCTAAACTTGCACGAACAAGTTTTGACTGATTTACATTTGTTTTTATTCAAACTTGAATGGCTACATTCAATTAAAATTTATATTTTATTTTTAGTCACTTTTTGTCCATGCAAAGTGGACATGTTTTGGGTCAGTTCTAATGTTTGGTATTTGTTGTATTTTTTCACCCCTCTCATGTATTTCAAATGAAAAAATCACGTTTCAATGTTCTGCTTTACACTCGTCATCAGACGTGACTAGAAAATTGCCTAAAAGTGTTTTGCAATGTCGTGGCAAATTCTAATAACTTTGATTTAATCTAATTAGTGAGCCAAGAGTTGACACAAAACTGTGCAAGTGCAAATGTTACATTTAATTTTGATTGTAATAAACTTCAACATTCTATGCAAATGCTCTCGGCCGGCCATGTGTCCTCATTGCCTTTTTTGGCTGAGCATTTTTTTATTGAAATTTGTGACATTGTTCAAAAAATTTGTTCATACCTTTTTTGCTTTGTTTTTATTGTTGTTCTCGTTTTAGGCGAAGTTTACAGGACCATTGTCTGACACATCATGATTCTAAGCCGAACCATCGTTTTGTGTGTCCTCGTGACAGTTGTGACTATAGAACTCATAACAAATCCTTATTAAAGGTTCACTTGGCCTCGCATTCAATTGAAAGTTTTAAATGCCCCGAAAAGGGTTGTGACTCCGTGGGAAAGAGTGAATTTCACTTGAAAAGGTAAGTTCGAAATTGATTTTTTTTCTTTAATTAATATGTGTGTATGCATAAAAATAAATATAAAGAAATAATTCTGGGGTTAGAGATTACTAAAATAATTAAGACGACGAACCTCCAAAGGTTAAAGTTTGTCTAAACTTTAAGTGTTAAGCAAAAAGCTTAGAAAATAGGCAAGCCATTTATTTCATTATCATTTTTATTAAATTATATCCAGGTTTTAAGAACTTGTAAAGTTTTACCTAAATTGTCCCGAATTAGGATATGTAATGTGTAACATTTTCTTGCAAAAACCAACAATAATATCTTTGTAGAATTTGAAAGCTCTATCTGGAATATTGTACGTAAATTTCAAGCAGAGAACGCAAACCTCTTTTGCAGTTTTTGAGTCTTGCGCGCATGACTGGATTGCCATACATTGTCCTGATATGAATTTCTGACGGACCTAATTTTGGAATCAACTTTGGATTTTAGATTGTCGTCTTCAAAAAAAAAAAAATAAATAAATAAATAAATAAACTAGACAAATACACCTCTAGTTAAAAAAATAGATATTTGATTTGTAATTTTATCAACAAATTATTTATAGTTTTCAAGGCCGGCATAATTTTCAAAGTCGAGATAATTATATATAAAGGGTAGAATTACTTACTCCGCTCCAGTACCGGTTAAAGTCTGCATGATTTGAAATTTTTAAAATTATTTGATTGAATTTTTGTTGTACGCTTTGTGCAAAGATTTTATGAAGGTAATAATAACACTATGAAGTAATGATAACACTGTGGTACAAATCTTTCTTGGATCCAGAGATATGGGTCTTTGAACGCAATTTTTCTAAATTGTATGCTTTTTTGTTTTTAAACCCTACACCACAAGGTGGTCAGGGTATTATGTCTCTGTGCATTTGTTTGTAACAGACAAAAAAACGAGATAGACCCATAGTTCCTTTTGATGATCTGCATAGAACACACATTCTAAGCCGATTTATGAATGTCGTCCGCCAGTCCATGTATTTTTATAAACAAAGTACAGGTCGCATTTATTGTCCGATACAGATGAAATTTTGCACAAATCATTTGTTTGGTCCAAAGACGAACCATATTGAACTTGGAAATAATCGGTCCAAATTTAGATATATCTCCCATACGACGTAGCGTAGCCCTATGTAGCCTGACGAAAAGAAATTGGACGGAAGCAGAAATGGATCGAAAAGTAAAGAAGCGACTTGATCCAAACCCGCGTCGCAGTGGCCGAAAAATGGCTCGTAAGCTGTACATATCGCAATATTCCATTCGGCAAATATTGAAAAATGAGCTCGGAGTAAAACCATTGAAATTCCAAAAAGTGCAAGAACTTACACCGCAACAGAAAGAAAATAAACTTAAAAGAGTGAACTGCCGAATTTGGTTTTCTCCAATGAGAAAACGTTCGTTGTCCAGCAGTTTGTAAACAAACAAAATTATCGTGTTTACTTGCCAAAGAGGTCAGCTGAAAAAGTGCACCTTCGGTTGGCCACCAGAACTCAAGTGCCGGCATGGTAATGGAGTGGCATTAGAATAAATACGGAATATTATAGCGAAAATATTCTGGAGGGTATATTAGAGCCTTGGGCATGCAAACATTTTGGCCGCTGACCTTGGACATTCCAATAGGACTCAGCACCATCGCAGTTAGCACGCGCCACCAAAGAATGGTTGCAAAATGAGGTTCCTCTCTTCATTTCCAGCGCACAATGGACCCAAATCTCCGAATACCAATCCGTTGGACTATTGTGTCTGGATTTTTTTGGAAAGCAAGGTTAGCACTAAAAAATACCAAAGTGTCGATCACCTCAAGCAAGCGCTTCGCCGGGAATGGGCCAAAATACCGCAGAGCAACATTTGGCACAGCATGTAATGGTTTCATTGGCCGTTTGAAGGTCATAATTCGTGTCATATGTGACCAAATCTATACTTATTCAAAAATTTGATTCTTTTTCCGACATTTTTTTCTTTTATTCAATAAAATTTAAAAAAAAATGTAAAAATTATGGCGTTTGACTTTGTTGCAGATTTTTTTTTATCTCACCCTTATTTTGGAAGGAAACATTGGATTTTAGATTATCGTCTTTAAAAAAATATAAACTAAACAAACAGACTTTTATTTTATAAAGTAGATATTTGATGTGTAATTTTATCTACAAAATATCTATAATTTTCAAGGCCGACAAAATTGACTTTGATTTTTAAGCATCAATGCCAAAGTCGATAGGTCGATTAATTAAAACCCAGGTAGTTATATCTAAAGGGTAGAATTACTTACTCTGCTCCAGTACCAGGAAGAGTCTACTTATATTGGCATTTTTTAAATTGTTTGATTGTATTTTTTTTTGCATGGGAACAATCCCCTTTGTGTAACGATTTTAGGAAAGTAATGATAATGAATAAATTTTACCATTTGTTCGGGAGTATAATAAGAATATTTTAAGTATTAAATCGGTTTATGTAAGATTTCTAGAATATTTCGTTTTGTCGATTCTACTTTTAATACTAGAAAGTGCCCGCTCTTCGTCAGCGAAAAGTCCACCTTAATATTTTAGATTCCAACTGTTCTTGTAAGGCTTTCTTAGTACTCAAAATGCACAATTTTTTCAGGTTGACAAAAAAATTTAATCAAAACTTCATACACCGTACTAAAGGGTTTATATATTATTTAAGCTTTTCCTTATTCGGAGGGAATAATAGGAAAATGTTTATAGTTTACACCAAAAAGTCTTCAAAAATTTTCTGAAGTTTGGCGAGAAGAATATAAGTAAAACCACTGCACCCACTGTCCGAAACTAGTTCAAACCTAGAAACCAACAGTGACCTCAATATCAAATTATATATCACGTTTCAAACCAAAAAGCAAGACCAAATTTAGTACTATTAAACACTAAATTCGTGCAATTATAATACAAATTTCCGAAACCACCTTCATATATTCAGGCTACACATGAACAGCGACCTTAATTCCAAATTTCCAATTTCGAGAACCATCGGTTTACCCAATACCAAATTGTACCAAATTTATTAAACTTACTTCCCAACCTTAATTCTCATACCAAATTTCAAGTTTAAAATTCCTTCCGTCCATATAATACCAAATGGTACATTTTAATGGCCCATGCCTTATCACACGTCTATAAAGTTATTTTAAAATAACTCCTATGACAAAAAAAACTTTATTTTGCCCAATTGACGAAACTATAAGCTCAAACTAAAGAAGTAAATTGAACCAAAAATTATTTAGGAACATCTTTCAAACCTTACAACCGCACTTATAAACATTCTCATTTTTCTCCACTTGTTATGCTTTCATTTACCTGAACGAAATGACATAAGCATGTAAGTTGGTTTTGTCTGTTACAACAAAACCCCTTCGTCGACCGTTCCTTTTCTATTAATAGAATAGTGTTGGCAATATTTTTAGAATATTTTGACTTGCTACGATCCCGTTCAAGAGGACTTTTTAATCGAAGCAATCCTTTATCTAATCCAAATAAAAACAAACCTCTAGCTATATTTAATATTTTTTGTAAGTTTTTCATGAACAATTTATATTTTGCTCGTCCCCTATAAAATTAATTCAAATAGAGAATCGGGAGATACCGTTATATGGGACACATAGCACACTTTAGAGTTATATAGACAGTTATTTTCAAGGTCATTTTCTGTCGCTGAGAACAAAAACTGCTAATTTACAGCAAATAAGGATGAAAATAAGACGAAAATCACAAAAAAACTTTAATCGGCTAAACCAAATCGTGGACATTCAATTCCCATTTTTAAAATAAACTACAGAACTAAAACACATTTGAGTATTCAGTTCGGATGGCAGAGTGAAGGATGTTATAAAAATGATCGATTGCTTTTGCCAAGTTATTAAATTTACTAACCAATGTAAAATCGTCAGAGTCTATATTTCCCCCTATATAACTCACGGAAAGAGTATTGTTACATTACATAGTGTACAGTCGCCTGGCCAATAATATCCTGATAAAGAACAAGGGACTTAGAAAGCTGATCCTTCTGGGCGAAATCCTGACCATTGGGTGATACATTACAACGAGTTCCCAAGTTAAAGTCGAAGATGTTACCACCCAAACAATATGAAATATATTTTATGGTGTTGAGAAAGACATACGTCTACAAAAACTGGAAGCATCTAAATAAACAATGAAGCAAAACAAAATTTAACAAAAAATAAAAAGCAGCTTAATTGAAGTCTAAAGCCTAAAATTCAAAACATTTTGTTAAATACTACGAACCATTCGTCTTAATTTAAATTAATATTGTAAATCAAATTAGGGAGGATATAAACGGCTCATTATTTTCAATAAATGCACTCGAGAACATTCCAAGTCAAGTCAGAAATGACAAGAAATCTGATGAAAATGTCTTAAATTAAACGAAATGAAATGTGAAAGATTTAAAATCTGTTACCTACCTTAAAATATATTCACCGCCATTGCAAACATCCAGTAACAAAAAGGTGCAGAACTCGTAACTTATAAGAAATGTGTATGTTACCCGAAAAATGGAGAAAAAACTGCAAACACACTCACACACAAAACACGAAAATATCGAATTAATTGCTGACTTGACCACTGGCAGATCAGTGGTCTTTTGAGTCGGAGCGCAAATGCCTAAGAAAAAAAAAAGAAGTGCAAATATCGATCCAGACGATGACAACACCAACGCAACATATCTACACAGGAGCCGCCAACATAAGAACACCACCTAAGCACAGAGACTTAAACTTTTAGAAGAGATGCCATTCTGATCTGCCGCATGGCTTTTCGGTGACTGTATGGCAGTATAGCTGAAAGTCTAAAGCAAGCTTAATTAGCAACAAGAAATGCTGCTGCATGATTGCCACCTCATACGGACAATGTTGTGTTATTGCCGGCATTGAGTGCAGTCCATGAACTGGCTTGGAAGAGCAGCGTTTTTTACCCAACCACTACAAGATAGAAGGGGGTA